TTGCAGGAGTTATTGGGTCATTATATGTAACTATTTGGCATAATAAAAGTTTCAAAAATCGAGGTACCGAAAACGGGCATTTTCTGCGGAGGTTCTTTCATATATAATACTGGCCCCATATAGACATTAATGAGACATCCAAAATAAAGGTTTGTCAAAAACTCATGTCTATTTAGGATATAGTTAGGATAATTTAACTTAAATTTCCTAGTCACGGCCCGTGCAGGGCCTAGTTTGGATTTCATTTTTTCCCCAAGATAGTTATACTTAAGTTTGCCCAGTTGCAGCTTATATAAGGCTCAATTTGATCTCAAATTTTCTCTGATAATAGTTTCATTTATAGGATATCCTATAACTATTAGCCTTAAATAGGCTCGAGTTTGACAAATCTTTATTTTGGATGCCTCAGTAATGCCCATATAGAGCCAATATCGTAAGAAATTTGAGAAAATAGGCACAATTAGAGAAGCTATCAGTGTCGAGGCTGTATAGCTCAGTGGCAGGACGGAAGTTTATCAAATATGCAGGAGACCAGGCCTCGGTTCGAATCCCGTAATGCTCTAATATTTTTCTCGCTTATTTCTTACAATATTTAATACGAAATACCAGGATAAATTTCCTCACGGATATGAGTCCTATCTTACAGTTATATAAAGTATGCTCAGATTAAAATTTTTATACTCTTGGCTCAATTTTGGATTGACACGCTTTTTTATCCAGGCCCCACATTGGCCCTCAAACCTGGGTCAAGTTTAAAAACCAATGTGGGGCCTAGATAAAAAAGCGTGACAATCCAAAATTGGGCCAAGGTGGGCATTCTAACTTGGGCCTCAAATAATGTAAGGAAAGTTAACATAGCCCCGATTACAGCCTAGAAAGAATTGCCACACGGGACGTTTCTGCTAGTTTAATAATTCTCGAATTCATTTTTTATCACATCAGTGAATATCTAAAAATGATAAATCTTTTTTAATCTATAAAACATATGAAAATGTATAAATAAATTAGGACTCTAAGAGTGAATCTTTTAAAAAAAAGAAAAGGCATACGATAAGTATTATATTGTTACGCCCATGCTCCGTCGCATGCCGTGCTGTACTGACACCCGTGGTGTCGCGTTGTCAAGACGACGCGTGCCGTTGTTGATGGTGAACAACTGTCAGATCTTCGGAGAGCAGTCAAGACGTACAGACGTGCTTCTCCGCCGATTACACATATTATCGATACGCTACTTCTGTACTGACGATCTCGTGGTGTCGACGTTATTGAATAAACGACTTCTTATTTTCTATTCTTTAATCCTTGAGTCTCTTTATTTCCGTGGCTCGGGAGTGCGCGTTACTATCCGAGTGCAATCTCGTGCATCGCAAAAATATATTTAAAAAATCGAATATTACATACATCTTAAAACAAAAAACGTTAATTATCTTAACGGTTCAAAGAATGACCCAAAAACATACGTGTTTACCCAAGCAGAACAACAAGTCATTATGATATCAAAATGATGTCAAAATAACTCCAAAATGATCGTTAAAAGTCATTTTTCAATCATTTCCGATTCATTTTAATATCATTTTGACGTTATTATGACTTGTTGTTCCGCTTGGGTAATCTATATATTTTGTGGTCCTTGAATTTCAAATCAAACTTTATACCAAATAATACTATACGGTGAAACATTACTCTCAAAAAAATTTTTAATGTATACCAGGTATGTAAATATGAAACCGGAATTTACCAATAGATGGCCATAGCTGTCAATGTAGTTGCCGTCCGACCGCGTCATTGACGCCATTTCCTTGTTCTGACTTCTGACAAAGATTTTCAACTCACAACAATACAAGTTTCATACAACAGTATAGTTTGTAATAGCGTTGAA